ATAAAGTAAAAATAGAAAATAGAAAGAAAAATAAAAGTAAAGGTACCGATTAATCGGGTAGAAATCAAAACTAAACATGGTAAGCTAATCTAATGTTATTGCTGAATAAATTCTAAACTATACTTAAACTAACACTATTCCATTTCCCTTTTTATCCCACTTTCCTATCCATCCGTTCCATTTATTATTATTATTATCGTTATCCTCCTCTTTGATTGCGAGTCTCACACACGATCATCAAATTACGATAGATATCACCATGCATGGCTTTAACCATGCTAATCGTTATGTGCGACGTTCGATAAATTTGGGCAATGCCTTGTTTTTCGAACATCCGGTAGATGCGCGTACACCTGGTTTGGTAATGCCGTGATAGCATATCTTTTGGTACCTTCTCTCGTGGGGATTCCATTATATTTGCAACAATTTCTCCAATGTAGAAAGCGTATGCAAGTGCCTTGATTCAGTTTTTCTCTTGTTGCGCCCTTCTCATTTGTTGATACATATCAGCAATACTTGTTGCCGTATCTCGGTTCCCTTTGTGCTATAACAGGCAAACGGCAAGTCTGTCACTAATGTCAACAGAGTTTGTGTAACCGTCACTCGTGTTTCTTTAATTAAAATAGGTGATTTGAGGCACACGATTCAGCCGAGTCTTTCTCACTTCTTGTACACGCACTCCCTTTATTAACAACATTTTCTCACTTATTTATACATTTTCTCGTCTAACTATACGAGTTACAGAATGACGATTTTAAGCATTATTACATGATGATGAGCAATCTCACAATGTCATTGTCGTTGCTTACAGTCATTAACTTGACTAGTCGTGACAGGATCGGATCTCGTCATCCAACGTAGATCGATCACGTGTCAACGTAGCATCATTGTTCATTGTGGGGTGCGTACGATCTTCTATCATCGTCGCTCACTTTCGTCACGTTAATTACATGTCTATGGTCTTATTATCGTGACATTTGCTAATGTTAGACAGATATTTTATTATTGACTATTTTTATTTTATTCCTTACAGTGCGGTCGAGGTAAGATTTCCGGGTGTATTGGTTCAGCTGCTGCTAGATCCGCGGTGATTAAAGTTAAGTCGGTACTTATCTCGTTTTCATCTGCCATTTTCTCCTTTTCCATTTATTCACCTTCTGTTATTTTATGCTTTTTCTGTGTTGTCTGTTTTTATCTCTGCCGCGTCTGTTCCTGTATTCCTGGTGGCGAGTTTAGTTTAGGGCGTCAAACTTCCTCTGTTGCCCATATTCCACAGGGTCCTCGTACTTTTTTAGTAACTGTTGGTTGGTTGATCTCTTCAATATTTTCCCATCTATCGTACGCAACCGGCATACAGCGTTCGGTCATACCTCGTGCACATAAAATGGCCCTATCTATTTCAGGTCTAATTTGTTGCTTCGTGAGTTTTCCTGAGATGCTTTGTACATTAGTACCTTGTCTCCAACGATAAGATTTTTCTTGTATCAGCATTTTTGGTCGTGCCGTGTTTTTATCTTTTGTTGAGTAGTGTTTACTCGTGTCACCATGTCTTTTCGATGCTGCTGTAGCACTTCTACTAAGTCGGTAATTTGTTGGTGCATTGTTTCCCCCCTTGATTCGTTACTTTCCATATGGTGGATTGGAGTCCATGCCTCCCTCCCATATGTTAGATAGAACGGCGTCATCCTTGTCGTCTTCTGGCGTACCGTCCTATAAGCGAACAGTACTGAGGGTATCATACAGTCCCAATCCATCACATCGCGTACCGATTTAACAATGGCCTCGCATAAGGTACAGTTGAATTACTCTACCAGCCCGTTTGTTTGTGGATGGTATAGTGTCAAGTACAAGGGATTGATGCGGAACTTTTCTAAGTACGCGTTTAGCATGCGACTCCTTAAATTCGCACCCTGGTTGGACAACAGGTAAGTTGGGCATCCATACTGGCATACCACTTCTTCATAGATAAACTCCGCTACCTTCTGTGCCGTCGCTTCCCCCAAAGCTCGAGCCTCGGGTCACTTTGTCATATAGTCAGTGACGACTACAATGTAGCAATTTCCTCTAGGGATAGTGGGTAGAGGCCCCACTATATCGATCCCTACTTGTGCGAATGGGTTTCCCACAGGTATGGGATGTAGGGGTCCTCGTCGCTTATCCCTCCGCCTCCTTTGACACTGGTCGCAAGATCACACATATGCTCAAATATCTTCGTACAGCTGTGACCAGTAGTACAAATTTCGAATTTTGTTAAACATAACGTCTCTCCCCAGGTGTCCTCCAAGTGGGTGATTGTGTGTCAAATACAGGATGGGGCCTATCTTGTGGTACCATAATACTTTCAGTAGATTATTCTTTTTGTGCTTATCCTTCTTATAGACGTCTCCTTCTTTCATCACAAAGAAGCTGCTCTGTGCCTGTATCCTCTCCACCTGTTGCTGTGAACACTCCACGGGTAGCCGTCATTCTTATAGGTATTTCTTTAGTTGTCTATATCATTCTTCGTCCATTATACTTACCAATTCTTTCGGTTATTAACATACTAGTATTGTGATTATTATTTGCCAGAACACCGGAACCTGGGTTGGATTCTGTTTCTCGGATTTTTTTTTTTTTTTTTTTGCATTTGCCGTAGTTTATATCTTTTTCTCTCTCTCTCTTTTTTTTTTTTTTTTTTTTTTTATTGTTGGTCTACTATATTGCTGTTTGTGATGTCTGTTTCATCGTGTGAGTAGGCTGAGTCGTTTTCTATTTGTTCGAACCAATTATTCCCTTCCTTTTTCTTTTTTGCTCTCTTGACTTCTGCACTCTTCGCCCGTTTCTTTTCACTGGTCAAGCGAGACAGGGCATCGGTGTTGGAATGTTTCTTTCCGGCCCGGTGCAGGATTGTATAGTTGTATGGTTGAAGGCGGAGGACCCACCGTGCACTCCTATCCCTCAGCTTTGAGGTCTCTAACCATCGTAGTGCCGAGTGGTCAGTCACTACTATGAATGGTTTCATGCTGAGGTAGTGGTGGAAATATTCGATTCCCCATATCACCGCTAGGCATTCCAGCTCCATTGCGGCGTAGTTTCTTTCTGCCTTTGACAAGCTTTTGCTAACGTACGCGATCACGTATTCCCTTCTCACATCGTCGACCTGAGCTAACACCGCTCCCATGCCTATTCCTGACACGTCAGTATGCAAATAGAACGTTCTTTCAAAGTTTGGGTACCGTAGAATTGTGGCGGAGATAAGGTATGTCTTTAGTTGTTCAAATGCTGCTTGTTGTTTATCGTCCACTCATACCGTACATTCTTCTCGAGCAACTGATGTAGTGGCTTCGCGATTGCCGCGAACCTCCGGATAAACCTTCGATAGTATGAGGCGAGACCTATAAAGCTTCGTAACTGCTTTATATTCCCCGGGGCAGGGAAATCTCTCACTTTCACTATCTTATCTTCGTCCGGTCAGATGCTGTCTCTTCCTACGACATGTCCTAAGAATCCCACATTCGGTAAGAAGAATTTGCACTTTTCTGCATTCAGTTTTAGCGAAGCTTGACGCAGTTCCCTGAAGATACGAGTTAATTGGCTAGTATGTTCCAAAAATGTCTGTGAGTATACAATGATGTCGTCTAGATACACAGCTACGAATTTCCCCAGGTGGTCGTATAGCACCTCATTCATGAGCCTCTGAAACGTCGCCGGGGCATTGCATAGCTCAAACGGCATCATGTAGAACTCATAAGTTCCAAATTTTGTTACAAATGCTGTCTTTTCATGGTCCCTTTCATGGACCCGCACTTGCCAGTATCCGCTAGCAAGGTCAAGATTCGAGAACCATCTCGCTCGTCTGAGGGTTTCGATCAAGTTATCGATTCTCGGTAGTAGGTAGGCATCCTTCTTTGTTACCGCGTTTAGCTTCCTGTAGTTCACACATAGGCGCTGCTTCTCGTTTTTTTTTGGCACTATCACAATCGGTGACGTTAATGGGCTTCTTGACTCTGTGATTAGTCCTTGACTCTTCATCTTTGCTAACTCGTCCTTTACGTATTCATGTTCATCAGGGGCCATCCTGTACAACGTTTGCTTGATTGGTTTAGCGTCACCAGTATCGATCTCGTGCTGAATCACGTTGGTCTGAGTAAGTTCGTCCAGTTCTCTAGCGAATAGTTCGTCTTTTGTTTCCAAAAGTTTCACCACCTCCCTCCTCTCTTCCTCCGACAGATTGTCTAGATCCACCTTCGGTTCTTCGATGGTGAGCTCTCCCTCTTCCCATGTTGGCACTTCTTCCAGGGCAGCCAGGTAGATAGTGGGACTCGGAATTTCTTCGAGGGTTGCCTTTTCTCTCTCCGATCGCTCCTCTGTATAATAACCTTCTTCCTCTAACCCTTCTTCGCTCTCGTACTTCCACTCATCAAAGACATCTCCCTCTTATAATCATTCGCCTCTATCTCATCTGGATGTGCTAATCCTTCGATGCCGTTATGCGAAATAGGCACTTTCAACTCTTTCCCTTGATATTTCAGGAGTATCCTTTGCTCATCAAAGTGTATCCGGGCTTTTCCTTTTTGGAACCAATCGGTTCCCAGTAGGAGCATCTTGTCCTTAGATTCAATAACTCGCAAGGACACGGGGATGGTTACTCCCTGTATAATTATCCCTACCTCCCTAGTTTTCCCCAGGGTTCTTTCCCTCGTACTGTTAATGGTGATGACGACGGAGGTAGATTTCTCGTTTATTTCCAAATGAAGTTTATCCAGCAATTTTTTTGTTATTATACTCACTGCTGCCCCTGTGTCCAGAGTGGTGACCACCGTCCTGCCCCCAATTTTCACGTAGCATTTTGCTGCTGTTGTCTTAAAGGTGTCCGCGGAATTTACCTGGTTTGCTTCTTCCTGCAGCTTGGCTCATTTAAGTATTTTAGAGAGGTTGCACCGCTGATCAGTGTACTTCAGCAACTGCCCGTATGTCGCATTTGCCTTCATTGTTAGAATGTTCTCCGAGATATCGTATGGGTCAAGTACGTCGATGATTGATGGCATTTTCTTTCGTCTAGGTCTCTTGGTGACACCAGTTGCCTTGGGGGGATGTACGATTACCATTGGTTTCTGTGTTCTTATAGATTTCGGTGTCTTTCGTGATTCGTCCACGTCCCTCCCTTCCTGTTGCCTCAGCCTGCCCCTTGTTCCTGCTGTCCCCAGTGTGTATGCCTCCTCCTCTTCCTCCTCGTTTCCTCCCACTTCGTAGCAGTACTGCACTTTCGGGATCGCGGTCCTCACAAGCTCTTTTCATGCCTCCCCTTCAGTACACTGCTGGGCTATGTGTCCTTCTCCTCCACAACGGTAGCAAACTACGTTTTTTCTTTCTCCACCTCTTTGTTCTTGTCGTGGCTCCCTCCATTGTTTCTCTTGGTTCGTCGCAAGTTCCTTGATCCGTCGCGCAAGTCTTTCTATATTACTCTCTAGTTGTTTTGTCACATTCCTTATTCTTCCCCGGGCCTGTTGCTCATAATAGTTTTTTGCCTCTGCTCTGCGTGCCGCTGCAATAGCCTCCGTTAAGTCCCTAGGTGACGTCATGGCTACGAAGGTAGCAGTATTGCCTTTTAGTCTGTTCAAAAACATTCTCACTACGTAGTCATCTGGGATTGTTCTCTTCAGGTCTACTCTCGTTAATAAGCGCTTGAACTTCGTGGCATACTTTTCTACTTTCTCGTCTTTCTTCTGACTCAGTTCGTTTAATTTTATTTGCCACTTATATCGTTTCTCCGACATTGCGAAGTATTTCACTAGTGCATGTTAGAAGCTCCGCATAGGTTCTTCGTCATTTTTCCATACTGTAATTTCATTTTTCTTTCCTTATACCAGTCGGTTGTCAGACCCAGCAGGTACCCTGGGGCTATTTTCAACTTCTTTTCATCCTTCCACTTGTTAGCTTCTGCCATTTGTTCGAAACCTTCTAGCCATTCGACTGGTCATCGTCTTTTTTCCCGGCGAACGGTTTCGCTCGCACAGGGTTAACTTCCCGCGTCACATTTGACTTGCTTGCTATGTCGTTTATGGCCTCAAATACACCCGTATTAGCTGCTGAAACTGGTCATCATTCATTGCCGCTTCACGTGATAAGTATTTTCGTACTGCAGCGTTTAATTGTAACCGCGTTCGCTTGTGTCCGTTTTTTTTTTTTTTTTTTTTTTTTTTTTTTTGCTTGTACCTAAAAGGAAGAATTTAATTAATAAAACAACCAGTAATGATTAAGGGATTTTTTTTTTTAAATGTGTTTGTAACAAATGATCGGGGGAGTAGCGAGTGTCGTGGTTATAATTGTGGGGGGAACTAGAGTGGGTAAGCGATGGTGTACATCTGATTATTATATACGATAATAATTGTATTCGTAAAAAAAAAAAAATTGAAGGAGGGGGTAGCGAGTGTCGCTGTCGTATTCGAATCTCACAGTCACCACCAAAACTGTTGGCATGAAAATCTGGTGAGTCTGTCGCTTGAGCGCGCCTTCTGTTGTGTAACAATGGAGCGCGTCTTCTACTCGAAAGAGGTGGGTGTATTTGGTCCGAGCCGTTGGGTAGCACTACAGATTAATCGATAGATCCGGGGATCTAGAGGGTTGCTACTCGTATGGCAATTCCTCAAGTGTAGTGTATGTGGATCAGGTAATAGGGCAAATGTTCAACAATGGAATCTAAAAGAATGTCAGAGTTGCGTAGTACCTATCTGGAATTCCCCTCATTTTCGTTCCTTCTTCTGTTACTTATATACTTATTTTTAATATACACTTTATACCTATTATATATTTTATACCTGATATACACTTTATACCTGATATACCTATTATACTTGATATACTTGATATACTTACTATACCTTTTTCCTTATTATTTTCTATTACCTTTTTACACGCTAACAATACTCATTACAGAATACTAACAGTCCTTTCATTTCTTCTATAATGCATCCCCATACCATTACAAAATGTCGACCACTTTTAAAAGTGGGTGCCAAGCATTCTGCATTGAATCTTTCTCCTGTATTTTGCCAAACTCATATTTGGCATGGCATTTTTCCAATTTCTACACATGTTTCATCTGAAAAAATAATGTGCGACCAATTATAAATAGATTTATTCTTTTTTTTTCACACCAATTTACTTGTGTGATAGCATTATTTTTATTGATAAAAGGTTTCTTCGCTGCTATATGAGATCGAATTCCAACCTTATGAAGTGTTTTTGCTGCTGTTGTTAATTCACAATTAAGCTTTAAATTATTTACAATTTTGTGTAAAGACTTGTGTTGTATTTTAATAACTTCTTTAATGAGTCTTTTTTTTTCATTATTTTTGAGTGTTTGCAGTCTGCCAGATCGTGGTAGATTTTTTATTGTTCCATTTTTCTTGTATTTAGCAATAAACTGTTGTATTGTTGTGGAATCACATTCCATTTTTTTTTGCTATTTGCATCAGGTTCATAGTTTCCATGTAACTGAGTATTTTTTCTTTATCAAATTTGGTCAACTCAGTATATTTAGAGATTATGTCATATGAAAAAAATATGTATATGATGTTTAACTAAAGTTACAAAAATCAAAACAAAAAAGATAAACATATAAAAGTGATGAAAAAAGGATGTAATGTCATGTTTAAATTTACGAGTCATTATATATGTAATAATAAACATTTAAATATTTATAAAAATAAAAAATTATTATTATTATCTCTTAAATCGTAAGGCATTTTTTTTATAATGTTTAAAATTTTTTAACTAAAAAGTTGCTTTTCATTCATTTTTTTAAAGAATCAAAATATTTTTCTAAAAATTTATATAATATTGGTTTTAATTATATATTATC